TTAGTCTGAAGGACCGCATCAAATCTACCGAAATTCTTCGTCGTGCTGGTTTAGATGATATAAAGGACGTATGCCGGCAACACCGTCTGTGGTGGTTTGGTCATGTCAAACGAAGTGGAAACAGTGCCATAACTTCTCTTGCAGATGTTGAAGTGCATGGCACACGTCCCAAAGGCCATCCAAAGTTGTCCTGGTCGCAAACAATCGAGCAAGACATGAAAGCTCTAAATTTAAATGAATTTGGCGCAAAGTTGATGGCAAAGAAAACAACATCCTACTTTGGGAAACCGGGTCTCTGGACGCAAAACGAAGATTGATTGATTTCATTGATTGATTGGAGGGCCCAGCTCCGAACTTTTAAGAACTCCACTTGTGACGCTAATCTAACTCATATTTTTGCCTTGTTATCTTTGGTTGTTCAGCCAGTTAGTAAATCCATTGAAGAAAATTTCCAGATATCTCACATGCCTGTAGTTTTTTGACGAGTCATTTATGTGTCAATATACATTGCTTTCGCGAAGTCCAAATAAATTATGTCTTCGGAGTTCTCACTTCCCACATTGTCGTAAAATTTTTCAAAAAAATCCAAAAGATTAGTCAAACAAAATGAATCCGTGCTGGCTGTTTCCTATTATTTTGTAGTTCGCCAGATAATTAACTAAGCTGTTCTTCACTATTTTTTTAATACTTTGCCTAATATACTTGTTAAGCTGACTAATGACGTGAATGCTGGTGTCGCACCTGCTCCCTTTCTTGAATATTGGTGTTACAGTGGCATCTCTCCAGTCTCTTGTTTGGATTGATTTTATAAATATTTCAGTTAGTGTTGCTCCAATTTCTTTTTTTTCTTTTGAAAATTTGGGGTGTAGTTCGTTTATTACCACTATATCTTTAGCAATATCCACGCTGAATATTTGTTCTTGATTTTCCTTCAACAGAATTATCAAGTCTAGGATGCATTCCGTATTTTTTTCTTCAAGTACAGATCCAAAGTATTTCCGCAGTTTCTACGTCAACTCTGACGATATCGCCATGGTCGTTCTTTAGCGATCCAACCATCCTAACTAAAAGTTTTTGATATTTTTTATGTTCTGATAATGTTGCTATTTATTTATGTTTAACTTCGTATTCTTTAATAGCCTTCTTATTTGTTTTGTTTGCCACGTTTCTTTCTTCCAAATTTTTTTTAGCCTTGTTTATTAGACCTTCAGCGTTTTTTCCCAGTAAAGTAAAGGTCTTTTTTACGTGTATTTTGTTGTTTTTTCCAGACTGTGTTTATAGCCCTTCTGGCTTTCTTTACTTCTTTATTTACCCAATTACCCAAAGACACTTGTTTTTGTTTCTTCCGTGGATTGGCATTTTTTTTCCATAACCTTTTTTATACATTCGTACACTAAGGCCTGCCTGTCTATCTTTTAAGTTTATATATTTGATTTGCCTTCTGATTTTGTCATAGTCTTCTTTGTAATAGTTTTATCGTCTTTTTTGTGATATTGTTTTGGTTTCTTGTTCAACAATTTATTATCTGATGATAACTGGAGCCAAATTTTGCTCCTCTGTAGAGATGACAAAGTCAAGGGTATTATTCTCTCTTGTTGGCTGTAGGACATGTTGTGTGAGAAAATTTGCATCTTAAAGTTTTTTGCTTTGCCTTTTTTCCCAATCTATATGATAGTTGATATTTCCTAATATAATGCAAGATCCTTTCGTAGCTCCTCCAATTAATTCGTAGAGTCCTTTGTCATTCTTTTTACCAAAATCAGGAGTTTGATAGCAAATTCCAAATACCAGGATCTCGTTTTTGTTTCTTACTTCACACCAAACGCTCTTTTGATATGTGTCGTCTCCATTTTTCCCACAGCTGTTTGGTCGTCTTTTATATATAGTAGTACTCCACCACCCTGTTCTCTTCCTCCTTAATTATCTCTGTCCTTCCTGAACATGGTGTATATCAAGTTCGCTGTCCTCTATTGAACTTTTTGTCCATGTTTCTGTTATACCGATGATGTCAGGTTTTGTATATATACAACTCAAGTTCTGTTCTTTTATCTATGTTTACTACAGACATCACTTCTTGCTTTTACGTAGAAGTATTTCAACCTCTTTGTAATTTTACCTTGCTCCCTTGATGTTTTCTTTTGATCTTGATTATTTAGGGGTTTTTTATCTTTACTATCCTCATGGCTCCAGGTTGCCCCTCACCCTGAATATCCATTCTCCCGACTTTTCTGTACTTTGTTTCTTTTTGCATTGATTAATTAAGTTGCTGCAGAGTTCCCTTTCTTTTTGTGTCATATCGTGCGTCACCGAAATTTTTTTTGTATTTATCTTTAGCTTGTCGAAGATAAAACAAATTTTCCAGTACATTATACTTTGTTTTTCTTTCACGAAACTCGTTTAGTAACGGTCTCTTGATGTTCGTATTTCTACCTAGTCTAAATATTCGTTTAATATCCTTGTCTTCACAAGGTTCTTTCAACACTATGTTTATCAGTATTAGTATATTTTTTTTATCTTCACGGTTCCTTTTTTCCCCTTCATTGTAGGAGATTAAATCAATTGATGAATTATATTTTATTTTTTAATTCTTTCTGCTTTTCTTCTTCTTTGTCAATTTCTATCTTCTACTTTTCTGATGTTCTCATCTAGTTTTTTCATTTCTTTCTCAACCTTTTTATTGACTATCGTACTCCACATTTTGATTTTATTTCCTGGAGCTTCGTCTCCATTTCGTCTAGACGATTTTTTTGCTCGTCGTTTCTTAATGGTTCAATCTCCTTCATCAGTTCTTTCTTTTCATTTACCAATTCGATAACATGTTGTTTTAGTTTTTCAACATGTTGTGATAGTTCTACTACGTCTTTTGAGATCTACACCACTCATATAACTTCTTGGAGACTTTCGAATGGTTAACTTGACCAAGATTTGGCCAATTTTCCATTTTACGAGTGAGTAGAGAATTTCTTTTATTTTTCTTGTTATTGAAGTGAAAATGTACATGTCCACTTGTTGAGCGATAATTAGTGAGTTACTCAATTGACTTTTAGTGTTTGATCGACACTTTGTTGACGAATCTTTCTTCAACAAATATTGACCTATATTTATCAAAAATAATTTTATTATTTACAGTTGAACTGTAATCAAAGTTTAAAACAAAATTAAATTAGAAAATTTGATTTTTAAATTGCTAAAATTTTTGTTTACACCCAACCATTAAATTGAATGCACAAAGTATTTAGTTCTAAAAAGATAAATATAAAATTCACGTATGTGTTATAACTTTAGAAATAATTTTAGTCGAATTATCTATAAAAGAATTGAAATACGGATATATTTTAAAATTATTACTGTATATAAAAGCATTAATTTTCGAAATTTGTGGATCGAGAGAATCTTGGAAGATGTGAAATAGTAAATTTGGGTAGTTTAAAAAGAATTCTAATAAATCTATTTTGACATCTAGTTAGTAAAGTAATACGGGACTTAATATAATAACACAATATGTATGATAAGGATAGACCAAAGTTATAATAAAAGTTAAGTCATCTTATATGGAAATAAAAACTTTAATTTAACACCAAGACTTTGAAAAAAATTTTTGCAGTGATACGATGAAGGAAAACTTTAACTTTAAACCTCCGCCGTCATTCATGTGATGGCTGTAGGAGTGAACCCAAGCAGAAAATCGCTGGCACCTGTAGTTGTTCTACTCATCAACTTGATCTCAGTTTTGACTAAGCTGCTGCGTCCATGCTGATCAGTCATCACGTAAGAGATGAAAAGAGAGCTGACAAAACTTTTTACACCTTAAACTAAATCAATCGTGCAAGTTGTCTGTGAATGTAATAGTCTTGCGGCGGCTGGCGAATGACGACGGCTTCAAATGTTTGGTGTGACGATCGCTCGTTACTGAAGGCTACAGTGACGTTCGGTCCTAACTTGGCGACAAAGCAGCCATTACTGCTTTCTAAAATTGGAAAGGGGAACAGTGGAAGAAAAAAAGATTGTTTATATGAACAGCTCAACATAGCTGTAAACGCAAAAGCCCTCGAACATCAATTTTTTGTGCCTTCAGGCGACTTCAACAACGCACGAGTGGGTGTATATCTTGACATATGGCGTGAGGGTACTTGGGGGAAATGGGGTAGGTAAAAAAAACTCAAATAGAATCAGGCTTCTTGAGTTCTGCGCAGTGCAAAAACTAGCCGTGATAGTCAGGGTTTTCTAACAGTTAAATAAACTGGAGACAACATTGATGCATCTACGATCTGGACACTGGCGTCTGATCGATTATGTCATCACTAGACAAAGGACCTACACAACGTTTGTCTCACCAGAGCGATTCGAGTGTCAACCGTGTGGTTTGATCATCGTCTTGTCAAAAGGTTCATGTTCATGACGGTCAAGGCAGTCAAGAGGCATCATTGATTGCTAAAATTCATCAAGTTAAATGTGGCTAAACTGGAGGACAAATCAACTCTGGAATTTATCAGTCACGCATTATGCACCGAATTGGCTGAGGATCCTGATCTTGATTATTGGCCACATTTCCAAACGGTCATACAAAAGGTTGCAAAAAATTTGCTCTGATCATCGCCCTGGGGTGGGCATAGGGACTGGTCTGATGAACAAAATACGGAGGCTTGTAGATTACTGGATGTTTTGCACAAAGTCCATCATACTTGGATGAATAGAGTAGGCAAATAAAGTAGCCTACTCACATGCACGAAATGTCTCGCAGAAGTAGCTGCGCAAAGGGAAAAAGTAATGGTGGGCGGCAAGGGCTGATGAATTATTGGTGGCCACTAATCGTGGTGATTTGAAACTGTTTTATAAAAACTTCAAGATGATATATTTAAAATTTTGAGTGTTTGGAAATTTGACGATATGTGTCCACGTTAAAATTAGTCTAGAAATGATATTATTATCATTTTATAATTATCGAAGTTTTCTTGCAATTTTTCTTTTTTGTTTAATGTTTAAACTGAATATTTTTACAGGTGCAAAAAATTCCAGATCATTTAAAAACAAAACTTTTAAATGGCAATGTCGTTTCCTGTTCAGTTGTTACTCTTGAACCTCGCAGAAGAAGATTTCATGTGCCTGTTTCATTAATGATTCCTAAACCACAGATCAATTTGGTCAACCCTCAAAAATTGATGCTTTTTTGCAGCTTATCAGGTAAATTTTTAATATGACTTTTATATTGAAATGTTTTATTACACCTTAATAAGAAAAACGATCATAATTAATTATTGTCATCTTTATGACTAAAAGACATACATAGCATAAAATATACAATAAAACTAGTGTGTCCATGATTGAAATATTTAATATCGGTGTTTTTTTTTCTTTTTTTAAAATGTGGCATCCTAAACTCGCAATCATTAAATCAAGAAGTCATTAAATTAAATCATTAAACTTGCTATCATTAAATCATTTCTTTTAAATGACATTTTTTAACGTAATATTTGACATTACTGACACTTTTTTATTGTTATTTACAAAATCAAAATTTGATAGACCCAGAAACAATATGCAAGACAATAATATAAAATAATAACGAGATTGTAATGGAAAAAAATAATGGAGTAAGAATAATTAAGCATGGAAAACTTAATTAATTAATTAATAATAATAATAATTAATTGATTAGTAATGGCTTAATAAGGTTGTGTGTTCATCAGGGAAAAAGAATAAACAAGATTTGACTAATACCAAATATTTATTGAGTGTTATTATATTTCAGGTGTCTTGGGATGAAGGTTTTATACTTACAAGCTGTTTGGCGACTTGATAGTTATGTTTACGTTGACTAAGGTTGTTTTTGATAGGTGGTAATAGAGGATGGATGACGTGGTTGATGTTAGTTTCTACTTTTTTGAAGAATCTTGAATCGAAGGTTTTGAATATTTGCTTGACGGTAGGGTTGATGAAGGTGAGTAGTTGAGGTGAATTAGTTTTTGGATGAAAGGTTGTAGTTGTTCAAGTAGCTAAACAAGAAGGAGCTGCATATTTGATACGTGAGATGAATAACTCTGTGATATGGAATACTTTAAGCTATGTGAGGTGGTCTTTTGAGTGCATGTAATGTTTGATGATGTGTTTAATATGAGGTGAATATGTTGAGTGTGGAGGTGAATAAAATGCCTGATATTTTTAATTGATTTATGCTGATTTTTGTGTACAGAATTTGGTATATCACACAATTATTTTTATATTTGAATTAATTAACTATTTGCTTGGTATTTTTTTTTATTTTCAACATGTAGATAACCGTAAATGTGAGTATTTTTTTAACGTATGTAAAATGGTTACTAAAATCCGGCTCCGGTTTTTGAATTTTACTTGGAAAACTTAAATCCGGTGCATCTCTAATTACAAATATAGCAAAGATGACAAAAATAACGAATAATCAACATAATTAATAATATAGTGCACTTTGACCATTGCAGCGGTATAACATTACCTCCACCTTAGCCTGTTAGTCCCTAACATAGGTGTTACTTCTCTATTTTGATGAATAGAGGCTAACCTAACCTCATTCGTGGTTATAGGTCTTGTAGATCACGTTATTTATCTTGTTAATGACCTTTTTCCGATATTTCCAATTTCATGAAAGTTTCGCCAGGCATCGCCTTTTTCTGTTCCGTAAGTTGTATATCCACACTAGGCAGTGGTGTAGTCCTAAAAAAAAAGTACCGGAACGGCGTCGGAACGGCTAAAAGATAATAAAATATAAGAAGTAAAGAATGATAAAAAAAACGGTTTTATTTCGACATACTATTTTTAATCTTTATTTAATTCATATATTTTAATTTTACAACAATTTCCAAAGAGAGTTAATTGAAATGTTTTCTGATGAAGATTTTCTTGTTGTCATCAGCAGAACGGTGTGTTCGAAGCCATGTTATAACGTAATTTTCAGGATTAAAAATATTTAGTGGTGGTCCGTGCATTTTAATAAATAATAAATTTGAAACATTTTCAATAAGTAAGCTATTTCTCCTGTCATTTAATATGAGGTTCATATTACTAAAACCTCTTTCGCATTCAGAAGAGCTACAAGGTATTAGTTTGCCATACAACATTAACTGATTTAAGTGGTCTGCAGGTGGATTTCTTCCTCCATCATCTAAATAATCTCTGTATTCACTATAACATTTTTTAGACGACAAATTAAACGTTTTGCAAAGTGAATGAATTTCTTTTTCTCCATATCCAAGCGGAATGTCACTTGGCCATTCGTTTTTTTCTAAAATTCGAAATTCATTTACAATATTTGTTTCAGGTGATACCGAGTTTACAATTAATCTGCGATTTATGCTGTTGATAATACTTTGCAGAAATTGATTTCTATTAATGACAGATACTTTGCTATTACCTGTAATAGTTACTGTTCCCAATTTCATTTTTTCAATCGCTTTTGCAATTTCAATTAATTTATTCCCTTTTTCAGCATTTTTCATAGATTCTAAATATCGTATGCTTTGGCGAATTTTTTTATCTGCGTAAATAATCGTAGTACCTCTGTTTTGTAATGCCTCAGATAGCAGGGACAATTCATAAAGGACATTAGCGCTAAATTTAACAAAAATTCTTTTGATGAAATGTGTTTATAAAGACCAAGATACATGCATTGTTCTGTTTTGGATCGATTCACATTTTGATTAGCTTGTATGAAATGTTTGCACAACGCTTCAAAATTTTGGTAAACCGCAGCTACTGTTCTAAATGAACTTGCCACCCACCTAGTACCTAACACACGGCCAATTTTTCTTATTTCTGTGTCTAGGTTTTGTGCGCATAACTCCAATTCCCTTTGATTTTTCGGTGACTGGTGGTAAAGAGTGTATAGTTTATCCATAAAAATTTGAAAATGGTTAATTCCATGTACTTCATCTATTGCATCGCCAACAGATAATTCTAGTCGGTGATTCACACAGTGCCATTTAATGAGGTTTGGATATTTGTTTGTAAGTTGAGTGGAGACTCCAGTATTCCGCCCGAACATGACGCTCGCACCGTCACTGGTGAAAGAAATTAAATTGTGTGCCAAATAATGGTCATCAAACCCGTAACCTGCAAGACAGTTTAAAAGACTATTTGTAATGTTGTTGGCAGTCTGGCTTTCCAATTCAACTAAATCTAAGAAGAGATAATGCGGATCTTCCATTTTATTTATTTCACACTTAAAGTAAATAATCAGAGTTGATTTTTTACTGAGCGTAGTACATTCATCCACAAGAATCGATATTTTACCATTATTCTGAATAATTGTTTGGCATATTTTTGATTTCATTTGTTTAGCGATATGATTAATAACATTAGTACAAGAAAATCTTGATTTCAATCCAGGAGCAATATTTGTTCCATTTAATTCTTGTAATTGTGATAAGTCATATAAATCTGAGAATGGACGATCATGTTTAGCTATGTAATACGCTGTACGAAAAATTTTAGACGTGGAACTTACAGCAGAGTTGTTTAATTGATCTATTACTTTTTCCATGGGTTTTTTCTGCTTCTAGTAAAATTTTCTCGGCACTGATATGTGCTGCACTCTTAGCATGTTCATGAATTTTTTTTCTCAAAGACGTCAACTGTGAACTTTTGTCTTTTCCATAATAAATTACAGTTGCGGTACTCCATTCTTTTGAAATGCTGACACCTTGAGATTTGGATAAATACCATTCTTGATTTTTTTTGTAAACATCCTAATTTTTCTGAATTGCAAGTAAGCCAATTATAGTTTTTCTTTTCAGCCCACATATCAGCTGTCCAAATGCTGGGAAAACATGGTTTTATTTCTTCAGGTTTCCCATTCTCACTTTCATTTTCATTTTCTATCAATTCTAAGTTGGTATTGGCAGAATCTTCATCTTCATTGTCACGCTTTTGTTTTTTACAAAAAAAATCAAGAATGGTATTTATTTCCCGTTTTTTTGACATCTGGACTCACGCAAATTTATATCCTTCTAAAAATAACATTAATAATAATATAAATTATAATATCACAATGATAATATTGTTGTATACACAAATAATTTATAATATAATATATTTTATTTTACGGATGGAGCCTAACATTTTTTTATTTATTACCCCACTTTCCTATATAAAAATGTATTTAAACAATTTGATTTAAAAAAAACAGTAAGTAATAAAAAGCAGAATATTTAAAGTAAATGTAAAATAAATAAAATAAAAAAATTACTTTTTTAACTTCCTCAAAAAACGCAAATATAATTTGAAACAATGTTTACTAAACCGTAAGCATAGCAACAATGATATAGCGTTGAATAATAAACAGTTTAAATAAAAAATTGAAGTTATTTATTCATCGTTTGTATTGGTATTGGCTATAATTATCTATTAATTTCCAAAGTTAAATTTAACCACTGTAAAATGTACTTTTTTTTATATTGAAATTGTAAAAAAAATGCCTCCAAAAAAAAGTACCGGAACGCCGTTCCGGCCCGTTCCGGCTCGACCACACCACTGACACTAGGTTATGGGACGCTTTTGAAACTTGCGTTATTTCTTTTTAAGTCATGCCAAATTTTCCTTGTTTTGGTTCTTTAAGCCTTAGCCGTCTTGGTCCTTTCTTTAATTTGCTAGGTGTAGAATAACTAGACGTTGCATGTTGCAATATTTGCTATTGACATCTTTCCTGTCGATCGACGTTACAAATTTAATTATCGCTTTTAATCGGTATTTCAGCGTTTTGCTGTTTCATTTCAGCCTTCATTTTAGCGGATTGCTTTTTCATTTCCGCGATTTGTTTTTCCGCTCGACGGTCGGCATTAGCCTTCATTTCCGCGAATTTCTTTTCTGCTCGGCAGTCGGCATCAGCCTTCATTTCCGCGAACATCTGCATTATTTTTAACATCTGCATGAATTGTTACTCGTCAAACGCAAACGAGTTCCTGTTGTTCGTTTCGCTAGAATTTAATCTTTGTTCGCTGTTGTCTGTTGTAATGAAATAAAGTTTTTTTTGTAACATTTTTTAAAATTTCTGTGAACAAATTGTTAAATGGATATTAAGTCCATTGTGGAAATTTTACTAAACTGGGAATTTTATAGGAAGAATGTTATTAAATCCTATGTTATAAATAGAAACAAGCATAACATTTTCTCTTTTGCGTAGTAGTTTTTTTTTTTTTTACAAAACTTTTCGTAATTTCTTAACATCTTGTATAAATATTCCGATATGTGCGCGTTTGAGCCAGTATGCATGCTCTTATTTAGTATTGTGTGTGAGATGAGAATATGTAATGTACATGGCGACTAAATATGCGTGCGTGTTCACGTTTGATTTTGTTAAGATATGATTATAAAATCTTGTAGCTATATCATCTGGTCCATTCATGAAATTTAACATCAACTCCATCGATTTAATTTTTATCTTTCCTCGCTATAATGTTCATTCTATATTGTTCTTGGCTCCTTAAACATCGTTGGTACACCCCAAAGCTTATTTCTTTCTTTCAAAGAGTACGAAACAATTAGGTGAAATTAGTTCTTGACGTGCCCTACCAAGTTAAACATCACTAATTAAGTTGCACTAGTTTCCCATTCATCTACGTAATAATATCAACCAACATTTCTTATGAAATTTCCTACATCGGCCACCATCAAACTCAATAACTAATTTATATTGGCTAATAAACTTCGCACAACCGTGATTTTTTTTAACTTTATAATGAAACGACCAACTCTTCATCTCATCCAAATGCATTTGAAATGCTACACAATGCCTTAATGAAAACTACAAATCCTTTGGAGATACATTCCCGTCCCAGTTGGCTTTTGAACTACGCTCACATCGCTCATGTATTGGCAATCACCTGCATCCTTTAATTACGGAATCAGTAAGAAATTGGTTTTCCTAGCCAATTAGCAGCTGCATATCCGAGTGTATGTCTCTCCCATTCGGTATCGGAGGTTTTGAAATCAGAATTAAGCTCCGCAACTATCTCAAATCACAATCTCAAAACATTATAAATTGTTTGTTGAGAAAATTTCACAACAATTAGAACATGCATTCTGATTCGGGCGATATTATTCTGACACTTAAAGAAAAGTTAACACGAAGCTGACTTTATGCACATGTCGCTGCGCAAATGTCAGGAAAAATTAATAAATGCGATTTATCGATTAAATTAAATTCCCGTTGTCCATGTTGTCCGGTGGTCTAGATAAACCGCCAATCTCCCAGAGGTTTTGTTCAAATTTGTGAAGAAGAGATTGAATCAACAACTTCCAAAAAAAACAATTTTCCAGATGGGATAAAACTATCAACGCTTTGGGTCCACTCTGCAGCGCAATTCAATGAAACAAACACATGCTATAAAATTGTGGCTCCATCGCGGCCCTGAAGAGATAAACAACACGCCACAACAAAATATTAACAATTGTTTTACAGGAAATTAAAATACAAGCCAATCCAGACGTTTTAATCATTGCTGACACAGACAACGAAAATTACCTCTCACTATTATCTTTATTCAAATCTCTTCGCCCTGATTTGCCCTCCACCAGGATAACACGACCGAAAAGTGGAGTGACGGTATGCCACGAAACAAACTTCGTCATGTGGAAAGAATTCAAACTTAAATACTTGCCAGAACCTTTAAAAATAATTTGATTGATGATAATAAACATTTGAAAATAATTGTCAACTCGTTCGAAATTTTGCTGCAAGTATTTTTAAATGTATTGATAAATTTTGCAATAGCTTGATTAACTGTGATATCGTCGTCATATTCTATCTAATGCGGTAAAAACTCAATTTCACCTTAATTAGCATTTTTACTTTTATTGAACTTATTTTATGTATGGACTATTTAAATAACACTCGTTAAATAATTTGTATTTTTAAATAAATTATTAGAGGGACAAGACAAGTCTGTATGGGAAGACATTACTAACAAAAGTTTTTTAAAAGAGGATGAAGAAAGCATATATTTTAATACATCAGTCTCAGGAAGGTAGGATTTTTTTTATTTTACACATAGCACAGATAATAATTTTTGTGACAATATATATGACAATATATATTGTTTACTTTTTTCATGAAATTTTATTTGTAAAATCTAGAACAGACAGAAAAAAATTCATCGAACTAAAAACGACCTGAAGATCGAAAGAATAATATCTTGTTGTAGGCCACCAATTTCAGAGTGGCAAAGATTAAAAATTTAATAACTACACAATAAAAACATAAATAAGTAAACAAAAGAAAAAAAATATATACATACATGAACATGTTGGACGACCATATTTTATACAGTATTGTATGAATTCTTCCGAATTTGGGGCATATATCAATTTAAAGTTTGTCCTTTCAATTTTCCTTTCTAGAATTTTTTTGGAAATTGTTAAATTTATTGAAAATAAAATTATTATTATTTAATTTCCTAATGAAAATTTAATGAAACTGTTGTTATCCAAATTCATGCAAATAGGCCTTATTTCGATTTTTTCCAAAATCATTTTCAGTGAAGGTTTGGCTTATATAGTTTTTTTAACAAAGCAATGTTAGTTTTTTAGCAAAGTTAGTTACTTAGTGTCGTATTCTTCATCTTCATTCTTTTCTTTGTTATTGAAGTTAGTGTTAAGGTGTCGAGTTGGTAAATTTTGTTTGATGTTCATTTTGTTTGATGTAACCCGCCAAGTTCTTTGCAATAACACAAAAATAGTTTATAAAAACACCAACACAATACATCTAAAAATTAAAAAAAAATAATAAAAAGAACTGTTTTGTTTAAAGAAACTATATAAACCAAACCTGCACTGAGGATAATTTGTGACAAATTGAAATAAGGCCTATCTATATGATGAATTTGGTTAACAACAGTTTTATTAAATTTTTATGATGAACTTGGATAATAATTCTATTTTCAATAAATTGAACAATTACCAGAAAATTCTAGTAGGGAAAACTGAAAGACAAATTTTCAATTTATAAATCCCCACAATTCGGTAGAATTCATAAAATATATAACAACATACATATATAAACACATATACATGCACACATATATACATACATACATACAAAAATATTTACTCATAAAAATTAAAGTTTTAATATTATTAAAAATATATACAAATAAATTCGATAAAGGAAAATAAAATTAAAAAAAACCTATAAAACTTATAAAAATATATACATATATATGTAAACATATACTTCATAGTATTATCAAATATTCATAAACACTTCATACAAAAAAAATACAAGTGTTTTTTTAGTGAAAAAAATATGTACAGACATATAGCACACTCCAAAACGCATATTCATATATGTACACACCTGCCTAGTGGTATGTTCATTTTTTCACATATATATACCTATATATGCACATATATAGTAAATATAAATAAATAAATACACATACATACAAGCTTTTTGTAAATTCACTAGCACAGAAATAAATTACACAGATACATGCACATACATACAAACTTTTTAGTAAACTCACTGGCACAGAAATAAATTACACGGATAAGGAAACTCACGCAGGGAAATTCAATACTAGCATTAAATTGTATAATTAATCTTTAAGTTATTAATGAACAGGAAAATTAAATAATCAGTAAGAAAAACGTTAGATTCTAATAGAAGAACATTTTTACACAACGATTTAAACTATTTGAACACTGTAAGATTGGTGGGTGAAATTTATGCCTTTTAACTGTAATTTTTTTGCCGGGGCTATAAAGCCAGTACTTCAAATTTTTAGTTTTACAAAAGTTATAACATAGAGGAACATGTAATAACACCAACGTTGGATGACTTTTGATTAAATATATTAGGAAAATTGGAAGGAAGTGTATTATATCACATATGTTATATCACATTGAAGTTATGTGTTTTATATATTGTAAGAATATTAAGTGCCGAGAAATAATTATCTACCGGATCAGTTTTATTTAAAAACAATAACATAATAGTTTTATAAAACGTTTCTGAGCTAAAAATATTTTGCTTAAGTGGACAGTGGAACTTTTTCTCCAGATGAATTTACTGTAATTTCCGTATGGGTAGATGAATGCATGGAACAGTTGTAATAAATTGCCTTTTTTGACCAGACTTCTTTTCAGTTATAATCACAACTTTGGTAATTAATAAAAATATTTTAAACTTGTCCGTGATTTAAATTTTAAAATAGAGCCCTTTGTTACGTGAGCGAAAGGCTAGGCCCACCGCTTATAACTGGTGGTTGTCGTCAGGATGGGTGTTCGGATGTAAAAACTTTTGCCCAAATTATTCCTATGCCATCACAAAGAAAAACAACGGCCCCTAGTCCCCAGCAGGCCTTAAGTGGTCAAGGGGTGCCAAGAATCCCTGGGAAGTATGCAATAGCGGAGGGATGTTCCAGAAAAATTCAGAATGGCCCCTCTACGGTACTTAGACTTGGAACGCTCAATGTTGGATCACTGACTGGCCGCAGCATGGAAATCGCAGAAATGCTCGAGCGTAGAAGGATTGACATCTGCTGCCTTCAGGAAATCCGATGGAAATCGAATGGTGTTTGTCATGTCAACTCAGACAAAGAAAAATATAAACTATTATGGAATGGTCAAAAGACGGCCAAAAATTGTGTTGGAATTTTTGTCAGAGAACCGCTAGCCCAAGAAGTACTGGATATTAAAAGGATTAATTCGCGTCTCATGTGGATCAAGCTTCGCATAGAAAAGCAAACAATGATTATTTTTTCTGCATACGCACCACAGACAGGCGAATCAGAAAATATGAAAAATGACTTCTGGACTGCATTCCCTGACACCATCTCAACAATACCAAAATCTGAAACAATTCTGATTGGAGGCGATCTCAATGGCCACGTTGGAGAGAAAACAGATGGTTTTGACAACGTACACGGCGGTTTTGGCTATGGAAAACGGAATGAAGATGGCAACCGCATCCTTGAGTTTGCTGAAAGTCACGGGTTTTGTTTACTGAATACATATTTTAGAAAGAGGTTGGAACATCTCATAACATACAAAAGTGGACCATCAGCCACGCAAATTGATTTCTTCGTTGTCAAGCAACAACACCGAAGGCTATTCAAAAACGTCAAAGTTTTACCTGGCGAATCATGTGTCGCCCAACATAGACTCCTTGTGGCAGACCTGGTTGTCGAACTGTCAAAACATAAGTCTAAACAAATGCCTCGGAGAATAAAAACGTGGAAGCTGAAAAGCAATATTCATCGAGAAAAATTTCAACAGATTGTCGCCACACAGTTAGACCACCAATCGCAAGCCAGTACAGATTGGAGTACATACAAAACCGTTTTGATGAACGCTGCAACTACAGTTTGTGCGAAAACTGGTACAAAACGTCAGCATGAACGTGACACTTGGTGGTGGAATGACAGTGTACAAAATGCAATAGCTGAAAAGAAAGTTGCATACAAGCAATGGCAAAAATCAAAGTCTGTTGATGACCATAAAATTTTTCGTGAGAAGCAATATTCGTGAGAAGCAATGCAACTTGACGTGAGAAGCAATGCAACTTGACGTGAGAAGACGTCAAGTTGCATTGGCTTGGACAGATCAGGGCAAAGAGTGGCTCACTAAAAGCAAAGGTGAACAAATGAAATCTCTCTATCGTATAGAAAAACAGGCAATGCGTACGAAAAAAGACATAGTTGGTGCCTCATATATTAAAAATGACAAAAATGAGATGGTTTTTGAACAAGCTACAGTGGAGAGAATACTTCAACCGTCTGTTAAACGAAACAAATCCCATCAATGTTAACAGACGCTCCACCCATCGAAGGTCCGATTCCAGACAGAAGCTCTGAAAGCTATGAAGGATGGAAAGGCACAGGGCCCTCTGGACTCACAAATGACATTATCAAATCATCTGGTACTGCAGGTATCCAAACGTTACTACAACTTTGCCGTGTAAGAAATTGCTCAATGCCGACTGAATGGAACTATAGCATGACAGTCCCGCTATACAAAGGCAAAAGTGATCCATAGAACTGTTCGTCATATCGGGGTATACGTTAGAAAATTGTCGAGCAAATCATTGAGAGAAGATTAACGTCGTACATCACAATCGGAAATTATCAATTTGGTTTTCTAGCGGGGAAATCAACAATTGATGCAATTCACATCCTTCGGCAACTGCAAGAGAAGTACCTCGCAAAGCATCAACAACTATCACACATTTTTGTAGACCTTGAAAAAGCATTTGATCGAGTTCCCCGTGAAGCAATCAGATGGAGTATACGTCGACAATTCATTCCAGAATATCTTGTTCGACTTGTGATGGAAATGTATACGAATACTAAGACTCTTGTCAGCACAACGGTTGGAAACACAGATGCATTTGACATCGGCGTTGGAGTTCACCAAGGCTCGATTCTCAGTCCACTGTTATTTATAACTGTGATGGAAGAAATCACAAAACCGATACGCACTGGTGACATTTGGAATCTAGTATATGCTGATGATATTGTTTTAACAGCCACGTCTGAGCAGAATGCAGCACAGATGTTTGAAGATTGGAACACCAGACTCGCCGATCATGCATTCAAAGTCAACATCAGCAAAACTTTATCTAAATTGTCCAATTTTGTTTGTCCTGCTTGCATCAATCCACAACAACAAATTCGAAATAGCACTGTTTTTGAAGCCAGTAAAATAGAGAAAGTCACATCGTTTCAATATCTAGGGGATGTTCTGGATTGTACAGCTGAAGCTGCCGTTCGAGCACGCATACGTGCAGCCTGGAATAAATGGCATCTCCTTGCCTCTATATTGATGCGGCGTGACATCCCACTACCACTACGATCAAGACTTTATAAATCTTTGATACGTCCGGTCTTGTTATATGGTGCAGAAACATGGCCAATGACAACCAAACTGGAACAACAACTTCAACGAACCGACATGAAAATGCTTCGATGGATGCAACGAATTAGTCTAAAGGACCACATCAAATCTACCGAAATCCTGCGTCGTGCTGATTTAGATGATATAAAGGACGAATGCCGGCAACACCGTCTGCGGTGGTTTGGTCATGTTAAACGAAGTGGAAACAGTGCCATAACTTCTCTTGCAGATGTTGAAGTACCTGGCACACGTCCCAAAGGCCGTCCAAAGAAGTCCTGGTCGCAAACAATCGAGCAAGACATGAAAGCTCTAAATTTAAATGAAATGGATACAACTGGTCGTCTAATTTGGCGCAAAAAGTTGATGGCAAAGAAAACAACGTCCTACCTCGGGAAACCGGGTCTCTGGACGCAAAACGAAGATTGATTGATAGCCCTTTGTTACGTGAGTTAGTGTGATATTTGCTAAATTGATGATATTGTTCAAGCCAAGTTTTTAATAAATCAGCTTCAAATTTGCTAAAGAACGTAGATTCCCGATTCTAGATTCCGAAACTTAAATATAAAAATTTTTCCATATTTTTCAGTATTTCTTTGGAATAAATAATAAAAATAGTGTTTATTTTAAGACGGGAATCCGTGCGCTCTCAAGTGACGTTTCAACAATTTCAACAGTTTTGTTAAATGAATAATATGTTTATTTAATGATTATTATCAAAAACAAAACAACTTTTAAGTTCTAGTTATTAAAAATTTTGTATCTGACAAAACATTGTTTTTATAGTAAAATTTTTCAGTTGAATTAGAGATTAAAGTTATTTATTTTATATTTAAGAATATCTATTTATTTTTACGGATAATATGCTTGCCCAACTGTTTGCTATGTTGAAAACGTCCAAAACTAATTTATAAAAGTATTCCAACTTTATGATAAAAAAAACGCATTCTATTCAGGAGCAATCACAGGACATTAAAAACACATCTTAGACAAATGAAAGTAATATTCTTTTAAATAATGTAGACAAATTGATGAAAAAATTATGAAGACTAACAAGAAGAGATTAACAATTACATGGGCAATACTAAAGAATCAGAAAAACCATGTATAAATACAATGGCTGATGTTGGATGGTTAAATTTTACCAGAATAAAAATTAAACAAATATTGTGATAAAGATCAATACTTAACACGAAATATTATCAAAGAAAAATCTTAAAAACCAATGGATAGTAAATGCAGATTATGTCATTTAGAGGAAGAACACGTTGTTCATATAATTGCAGGATGTTCAGCATTTGTGCCAACAAGCTACATGAGACGACACAATAATCTAGCAAAATATATTTACTTGTCAATTTGTAAACACTACAAAATGAAGGTAGATGAAAAATATTACAAACCTACAAAAATGATCAACCTGGATGAACAAATTATTATAATGTGGTATTTACAGATAATTACCGATAGAAAAATGAATGCCTACAGAGCAGATATCACCGTCATAAATAAGATTGAAAAAATATGCCTGTTGATTGAAATATTGATACCGACTGACGCAAATGAAGCGGAAAAAATTGCAAGTATAAAGATCTAGAAATTTCACAAATGTGGATTATTAGATGCAAAGTATTAGCAATAGTATTGGGAACTTTAGGAATCTTGAAGACGTACGATAAAAAAGCTGGGAAACCGAAGAAAGAAGAAACTCAAAAAATTGCACATATCCTTAGAAATTTTCTTGGATGACATTCTTTGGACTTAAATGAGCCCTGAAATCATCTGTAAACCGGCTCAGACCGTGATCTAAGCCGGTTTACCTTTTCAGTTTAATTCAGTAGTGTATGGTTTTATTTCAACTAAATCACGAAGAATGTGGTATAGATAATGTTATATAAACCCTTTTTTCAGCATGAAGAAACTGTGGAAGATGACTAACATCGGCTTAATCGATGAACGGTTGTTTACGGTATTGGGCATTTTTTAAGATATGATCGAGTGGACATGGAGATGATTTTGATTTGTATTTATAAATCATTGTTGAAATTTCGTCGAAGCTGGAAGGGTTTGTGTTGCAAAATGTTCACGGCAATGGAAGTTTTTTAATTCAGTTTGAGAAAGTAATTTTAGCAGACAGTGACGCTTATCTTGTTGTCAAAATGATGGTTGTTGCGGCCGAACAGTTCGTCTTTTTTAACAATTTTAACAATTTTTTTGTGCAGCCGTCCGATTCATTTACTGTTTTTAAATGCGATTGTGAATTCATCCATGTTGTTGAAATTTGAGTTGATAAAGTTGAAAATATGCGTTAGCTGGGCTTTTAAAGTTTGATTCCAAGAAGAGGCGTTTTTGTATGTTAAACTTTTTTTGGTGGCTTGCTGTTGAAGAATGATGTTGATAATGATAAAAACTCCTTTTATTATGTCTAAAGCAGTGTTGTCCAACCTTTTTATTCAGAGAGCCACATTGACAATTTAACAAAAAGTCGCGGGCAAATTAAAAATTTCATAGCCAATTATGTTTTCTAGATAAGAAATGAACTTGTATATAATGTTATAACTGGCCGGTCGACGACAGGTTCGATTAATTCCGGTGAAGAATAATTTCCAAATTATCGATTTATTTAGTTACAAAATAATAATTATTTAACTAATAACATATCAATCAAAGTTAATTAATTTTACTAATAAAAGTTAATGTTCAGAAACTATTAAATTAACGTTCAGAAACTATCGCTTTTCGAATAACAATAAAAATACAACGCAAATCAAATATCACTTTCGACAACGCTTTTCGAATAACAATTATAGCCAATACAATAAAAATACAACGCAAATCAAATATCACTTTCGACACTATTAATCAATCACTTTCCAATATCAAATATTCAACGACCCCAATTCAATATCTCGCGTGTTTTTATATACCTGTTTTACCGACGCTTCTCGAACGTCCTCGCTGTCAGAAGATTCTAGTTCCTCCTCGAACTGTGTGTCTAGCGAATATATTTGTGACGTTTGAATATATAATCTGCATAAGAATGTGTCCAAATGTAAAATCTTCATTCTCGCCTGCGGCTTCCAATGTTCTTGAATTCGGTAGACGCTGTCTTTCAGTCAAATAAGTGTTAAACTTAACAATAAGGTCCTTCCCAATCTCGCTGAAGCTTTGGAGACCGTATTTTTTTCGGATGAGGGTTATCAGCAAATAGTTGGCGTTAAATTCAGCAGTGTTTCCCTTTTGATCGTATTGGTTCTTGGTTGTTTGAATATTCTTTTTAACATCAGGCGCGTGTATTGGTAGATGCTGTTTAACCGCTGACGGAGATTGTCCACATAATCTGTTATTGATTGTTGGGCTTCAGGGGATACGCTATATTTTATATCAGCTTGGATTCATATTGAACTTCCAAAAAGGATCTTTGAGGGTGTCTCCCCAGTAGTTGTGTGGATGGCACTTTGGCATGGTGTTCGTCGTTTCAGGTCTTTTTGGTTTTTGTCAACTATTTTGGCCAAATGTTCAGTTAGTGTTGGGTGGAAACGTTCCACAATCCCATCTGACATCTGACTAGGTGGAGAAAAATTGTTCTTGTCTTTTTTATATCCAGTCAAACAGTTGCGACTCGAAGTTTCATCCTCGGTCTGAATGCAGCTCCATGGAAACACCATACCGACTGATCCGTTCATTACAATATCATGGGTCTTGTGGCCGAGTAGTTAGCGTGTCAGTCTACCATTCCCACGACCCGGGTTCAAGTCTTTGAACTCAGCCGTCCTTCCTTTCAAGGTCGGTAAATGGTTAGACGACGCAAGTTGTCGCATGTTAGTCGGCGAGATGGCTCAGCGGTTCAAATGTGCACCGAGTCAAAACATCTCAATGGCTATCATATGTGCTTGATACATGTGTACGTCGTGTGAAAAGGATAAAAACAGCCTTTGTGGCGAAAATGGCTGCTTCAAATATCAATGATTGAAGATATGACGAACATAATAAAAGATATATAGATAATATATATGTAACATTGTAAGTGGTTTTGCTAACAATAATAAAGCTGCAATAATAAAGATTAAAAAAAATATTTCCAGCGACGGTACAAGCCTTCTGATTAGGTATCGGATACACTTCCAGCACTTGATAAAATAGTCCACTACAGCCAGAAAGTTGGGTTTCCATCATTTGATTCAAGAAATGGTCCGGCAATGTCAATAGCAATTCTTTCGAAGGACACACCAACATTATGGATTTGCATTTTTTTTCGTAACCTCCATTTGGGACCTTCACTTTTTCGACACCAACTTTTTACATCTTCTCGAGCGTTAGCCCAGTATTCTCTCAAGCGTCTTATTAACTCCAAGATGTCCTTCATGCATATCTTTAAGAATTTCTGCAACTTTATTCCTTGGTCCCACAATCTGCATGCGATATTCTAATTAATCCGTCTATTGATTTCCATTTCTGTTTAACCAACTCATTTTCCAAATGCAAAAAGTCCCACTAAGCTCAGTAGTTTTTCAACGACCAACCAAACTCAGATATGTCTGCCATTCAGGTCGCTGGCCTGTTTTCTTTTATGCAATGACGTATTGTAAGTCTTGCCAGTTCTTCCGGTGTCCATCCTGTATCTGCCGTTATCGTAATTTTTCGTATATCTTCTGTTTGTACTTTTTTTTCCAGTCGACTGCAGTATTTGCAACCTGGTAAACTAGGCCAACGGGAAAGAGCATCGGCATTCTTGTGGAGGTTCCTTTACTGTGCATAATTTATAGTCGTACATTTGTAATTGTTCCAACCATCTTTGAAATAGAGCAACTACTACAACGCTGCATGATCCGTTTGAAGAAGAAATTTTTTCCGTAGAAGTACTCGTGGAAAGGTTTTTTTGCCATGGCCATTGCTGGCAACTCGTTTTTGGTGCTGAACGTAACAAAAGGCTTTTGCTGTAATTAATAGGCCAATACCTTTTCTTCTCCGTCAACCGTTTGTGACAATACGCTTCAATTCCACAGTTGCTTGCATCCGTATCTAGCACAAATGGATCAGATATTCTAACAATAATTCTCTTTTTAGTAGTTCAAAAGCTCATTCATTACTCATTCCAATCAAACGCTCGATCATTTTCTGTGAGTTGATGTAGTGTTCGTGCAAATTTTGCAAAATCCTTCACGAAATGTCGATAGTACGTTGAAAATTTGATGTAATTGTCCTTTTTTTATACAATGCCAGCATTTTAGTATACCATAATCCTGACCCTTCTGTACTAGAACCATCTTTTGACACAAGCATTCTTTACAAATTTAGCACAGCCATACGTCAATCTTTGATGTGATGCTTTCTTTGCTAACTCGAATGCAACAGCGACTTTGAGGTTGCGTTTGTCCGCTAGTATGAGCGTTTGTCTGTATCTTCAACAGCCTTTACAAACGTTTCCAATGCAGTATCTTCTCTGTGTTGTGGGTCGTAGGGTCAACCGTTCAGTGTCATGTGCCAGCTGCTGTATTGACTCTCCAGTTTGCTGCGTCCGGTTTAGTAAGTGGGACCGATATATTTGCTTCATGTGCTCTTCGCCCTAACAGAATTTAACTCATTTATCAAAACTTCTCAGCAGCTTTACCTCGCAATGCCAGAACCAGTGCAGTTGCCTTCTACTTGTTACTTACATGTTAATTTTCATAGCTGTCTCGAACTGTGGTTTATACATTGACTATGGAGTTGATCAGTCATAGGTTGGGGCTATGGCATTTGTAAGTGATGGACTATTGTTGTTTATGTAGTTGTTTCTTCTATTAATTTGCATATTTTCCTTCAACTTAACAAACCCGGACTCCACATCTCCAACTCTTCAACTTCAGTGTGTTGCAGCTCATCTTGGTAGATGACTGTACAATTTAGGTCTTTATTCTATCACTCATTATTTCCATTTTAATACTACCCATTTTAACCTCGTTTTAATTCTCCACTCTATGCCATTTATTTGCTCTCATATTTCATCCATATTTTTATTCAACTCATTTATATGTGCATTACCTTATTCACATTTTTCCAAATCTTTTTTCTCTCTCCATCAATCGCTTTGTAATAGTTTCCTTATCACCTCCAACTATCAAACCACGATCTCGCTGTTTTCTTCTCATGTCCATCATTGTCAATTCTTTGTTTTTTTTTATTAAATTTTTTTCTATCTCCGTAAAAGCTATTTAATGTTTTAGCTTTTGTTCTTTAGAATACAACTTTTATCCCACTTCTGTCAACAGTGTTACATAACTGGAATAAATTTAGCAATAATAGTTATGATGTTGTTAGTAATGTTACAGTCATGATAAAAACTAATAGTTAAAAATTGTTAAGCATGCTTTGAGGAAGGAACCGCTTGTAAATTAATTAGAAGGTTGTAAAGTAATTAAAAGGTTGTGCTGTATTCTAACGTTTTTATCGATTGAATGATTGATCAAAGCAATACACACAAAATTGCCAGCACTGTCTACTTTTTGATGAAGTTCATCTGAAATAAGTCTGTTCAGGAGTCGGGAATCAACGTAGAAAAAAATAACTGTAGCCTACAAATTCAAGAGGTCGGTTATAACAGTTAGCAGAATTAATAAGTTAGCAGAGTTTATATAAATATTCATTGTAGACGTACTCACTCCTCTACGTTCATACTTATTTAGGCCCAGATATACTTATTCATACCCAGCTATTTACATTCATACTCATATATACACATTCGAACGCACTCAAACCCATTCACCAATTACAAAGCAATATATTATTTATTAATTCGACATCAATCTTGTAACGTAGACTTATATTTTGTAGTTTATTTTTTTCAATTTTTACAATTAAACTTATTCTTTAAATTCTAACTATTATTGATATGTTGCTATATTAAACTTATAAAAAATGTCTACACTTTCTCAGATTTTGGCTTATCATGACCAGCGAAAATTTTGACAGTACATTACTAAAAAATGTTTATGATGAAATGTGTTTAGTACCGTATATTTCGGAATTAAAGTTATCGGTCACCAGAACATCACTAAATAGAGGAGTATTAAAAGTTTTTTGTTCTTTGTATAATAAAAATTTGAAAGCTTCAGAAGCCGAAACTGAAACAAAAGAATTTATAATCATCCCGGATATTGAAGTGAGAAAACTTTTTATAATTTTAGCCAAAATATTTATGATTATGTAGTCTTTTTGCATTACGCTCAACCAACCATTTTTGATGGGGAAGCTGTTTTAAACATGTCTATATTTTTTTGCGATAACGCTTAATACATTCAAACTTTAAGCCAATAAATCGGTAGTTTTCTTCTTTGGTTTTGATAATTCACCCCCCTTGCAAAGACTAGCCGTACCCAAAAACCTATATTTACATTATTTCAAGCCAATTAGTTAGTTTTCATCAGCCTCAAAATCTTTCTAAGATTTCTTCTCTCTTCATCTAAGCCGAGCCTTTTTGAGGGCGTAGCGGGTTAAAACTGTTTTTCATGATCTCTGCCGTATTTTGTTTTTCAATCGAGATTATAAAGTATTTGAAATTAAATAATTTGCGATAGATGGATTTTGAAATATGTCTCTGAAAATAAAATAAAAACAAAACAAATTATTTGAACTTATTTTGGACAAAATAGTTTATCATGTTTAATTTTAAAAAAATAAATAAAAATAATTATAATTTCCAAAACATTTATGCAGGTTTTTGCGGGGAAAAAATATTACTTGAATATGGAAGGAAATATACTGATTTACACGAATGTTGAAAATGAAAATGACCATTTGGTATTTAAGCCATTTAGAGAAAATTATCTTGTAAAAAGTTTGTTTGTTAAAAATAGCCTCGATGCTCCAAAAGGATTACTGCAAATACTTTGTGGCTATGTGGAAAAAACGATGGTATATTCTACAGATATTTATTTACCTGAGACAAATATACGTTGTTTAAATGATGAGTTCTGCAACGTCAGAAATTTTCTTCAAATGATTTTTGAAAAGAAAAAAGTTCAAATCAGTCTTGACGAATACACTCTTTCAGATAATGTTTTAGGTGAAAAACAAATATTAAAAAAGCTATGGACGAATAATTTTACTGACACAATTGAAGTGGATGTAAATATAAAAGAGAAACCAATTGATTGCATAGAAGTTTGTGAAATATTCAGTGATGTCACGGAGTGTAATGTTTACGCGATATCCAGAAGCGTGATTAAAAAAACAATAGTAATAGCAAAAGAAAAATGTATCGATCCTCGTCTAATTATAGCCAATTTATTTCAAATAAAAGATAAAGAATATAAATATGAAATTAACAGTAAAGTGGAAGAGTATAAAACATTAGATGACGGAACATTAGAAATTAGAAAAAATCTGATAAAAAAACGTTACTTGGATAATGATGAAAAAAATGAAGTAGAAGAAATAATTCAAATAAAAGACGAATTAAATTTGGGGTCTGTAATCCACCTAGATGTCAAAATAGAAAACACACACTTAGTATTTGAACCACACAATTTCAGAAATAAATTTACTAGAAAAGTAATTATAAAACCTAAAACAATCGGAAAATCAGTTTTAGAATGTAGACTTTATCGATTAAAAACCGAAAGGAATGAAAAACAATTTATATATGATGATAAACAAACATTCTCCTTAGTAACCGTCGTTTTAAAAAAATTTATTCCTAATATCGACTTAGGTGATTTTGAACTTTTCAGTAAGAAATCAGACGGAAACATTATTTTTAGAAAAGTTGTCCAAAATCCCAAAAACCTACATATTTTTGTAGAAAACATCGTCGAGTTAAACGTTCATGATCTTTCATACAGTGATGTTGTTGCTGTCACCAGATTCTACAAAATACGAGAAAATATAGAAGATGACAGCTGCGTAAAACTAGAAATATACAAGACAATTCTTCGACCCAAAACACAACTGTCTGCCGAGCCTATACAGGATCAGTTGGCAAAGGAGTTTCAATTGATAGATGTGCCATCTTACGTCATTCAAGAAAGTGAACCGCAGAGAAAAGAGTTGAGCGACGGTTCTATCGCGTTTAGCAGGTGCTTTAAAAAAAAGACTGGTATAACAGATACTCAGGCTGATATAATTGAAGAAATAATCGAAATTGCTCCTGGATTCGACGAAACGTCTGCTGATAAAATTCACGTCGAAACGGAAAGCAGCGAAGTTGAAGAGGCTATTGGCCCAAACAGGTTTGCTAAAAAACTCGTGAGGAAAACTGTGTTAAAACCGATGGTTGAATCGGACGAAAATGCAGTAGCATTGCCTATTGGCAACATAGAATCGTTATCCTCGGAACTAGTCTTTTTACAAAAGGTAATTCCTAATATCGACTTACGCGATTTTGAAATTGGTACGAGCAAACCAGACGGAAGCAAAGTTTTCAAAAAAGTTGTTCAAAACCCCGATAAACCAGACGTATTTGTGGAAAACATCGTCGAGACGAACGTTCCTGGTCTTTCCGACGACGACGTAGAGGTTGTCACTAGGGTCTACAAGATACGCGAAAACTTGAATGATCACGGCTGCGTTAAACGAGAAATAAATAAGAAAACTGTAAAACCCAAGAAACAACTGTCTGCCGTGCCTATACAGGATCAGTTGGCAAAGGAGTTTCAATTGATAGATGTG